GGGTTTGTGTCTCCTGCCACTGTCCGTGTCCCACCTCCAGGTGCTAAAAAAGAGCAAATTTCACCAGGGTGTTTGGCTCCAGCGTGTTCCCCGAGGAGCACGGAGGGACCCAGCCGCTCCCGGCACCCACAGCACAGAGCACCCAGCAAGACCCCCCACTGCTGGTGCATCGTGGCAGCCGTGCCCGGTGTCCCATCCCCTGGGACCACAGTGCTGTGCCAACCTGGCATCCCACACGCCTTCCCCATGGGCACAGGGACACAATCACCTCACAGTTGCTGCCAGGTTGGCACCCGCACGGGAACTTTTCTCCAGCCTGGAGCTTGGCAGATTAACTCCGTTTCCAGCTCTGCCTGGATTTGGTGACCTCTAACAAGGACCTTCCCCCCTCCACCCTGGCTGGCAGCCACCACTCCTCCCTCCTGGCGAAGGGAGGGTGATGAGTCCCACTCCCTGGGGCAGAACCCTCCTGTTTATCACTGATACTGGGGAAGTGGAGGCACTGGTGTGGAGCTGGGAACTGGGACTGTCCTCTTGCCCTCCTCGGTGATGGGGTGTGACTGTGCCCAAAGCAGAGCAGGGACCACAGGGCTTTGGGTGAGGGACAGGGCAATGAGAGGGTGTCACTGCAGAGCTACGGAGCAGCAAAGGGAAGGCAGGTGGGACATGTCACAGCAGGGTCACCCCATGCAGGAGAGGACTTCAGGGCACTGGGTTGTGCCGCAGCCCCAGGAACAGCCACTGCCCAGCTCCACAGAACCCCAGAACAGCCTGGACTGATCATAGAGTCCAACCATGAACCCAACACTGACCAGTCCCCTATGACTAACCCATGTCCCTCAGCACTGTGTCTACACGACTCTTCAATCCCTCCAGGGATGGGGACTCCACCACTGCCCTGGGCAACCCCTTCCAATGCCTCAGAACCCTTGCAGCAAAGAAATTCTTCCTCACATCCCATCTCAACGGCCCTGGCCACAACTGGAGCCCATTTCCTCTTGGCCTGTCCCTTGCTCCTTGGTTGAACAGACCCACCCCCACCTCTCTCCACCCTCCTCCAAGGGACTTGCACAGAGCCACAAGGTCTCCCCTCAGCCTCCTTTTCTCCAGGCTCAACACCCCCAGTTCCCTCAGCCACAAGGGAACTCAGCACACTTGTGCTCCAGACCCTTCCCCAGCTCCCTTGCCCTTCTCTGGACACGCTCCATCTCCATTTTCTGACCGCAGTTTGCAAGTTGAACTGTCATCCAGAGCAACTATCTGTTTACGAAGCTGTACCGACACCTTGCCCAGCAGTCCTCTTTCTAAACCGATTATTTACCAGCACAATGGGTCTTGCACCAAAAAGCAGTTTGGGTTGATGGTGTTGCTGCCCACATTGCAGGCAGGCAGTTTCCCCGCTGATCTCCCACCACGCAGCCCTCCCAGCACCTCACCAGCTTCCACCAGGACCTCAAACCTTCCAGGTGAGAGGTGGGAGATCTGGTAATCACCATTTCTGATTTAACACTTCAGCATCTTCCCCATTCCAGGTATCCAGTTTTGAGGGAAGCCAGCAAAATCTGATTTATTTTTTTTTTAAATGAGAAAGAGTTCAAAGTTTCTCCTTTCATTTCTCCAGAGGATTAACAGCAGGTTTTAAAAAACAGTTTAAAAAAAAAAAAAGTTAAAATTCTGCATAAGTCACCTCCATTTCACTATTTTTTTTTGACACAGATTAAAACAGCCTGCACGGAGCAAGCCAAGCCACGCAGAGCGTGGATTTCTGCTAAAGCAAGAGCTTCCAGGACACAGGACTGTTCCCAAGATATTTGTGTGTGAGGAAGATGAGCTGCAGAGATTATCACAGCGTTGCTGCAGCGAGCAGCAGCCTCACCCTGACATCACTGGGCTGCTATAAGGTTCATTAATTGGGTTTTATGTGACACCAAAAATTAGCAGCAAAGCAATTTTAGGATTGGCACTGCTGTGCCGCGGAACCACGCGTCCTGCTTTAGGTGGGTAATTTGTAGGGCACAAAGCTGGCTGAGGAAGTTCCTCTTCCTTCAAGAATTAATTCTATTTCCTGCCTGTCCTGGCAGAAAGTGCTTCTGCTACGGGAGAAGTGGTGGAAGTCAAACCTACAGCAGCAGGAGCAGTTTCAGAACAGGCTCCTGGGATCAGCGGCACGATTCCTCACAGCCAGGCTCTTCTCTGGATGCATTTCATCATCACGAGGTGCAGCCTCGGGAGGAACAGTGGCAACAAACTGCTGCTGTTGAGAATCCTGGTAACAGCTTTGCCCACCAGTGCTTCTGGGAATCATCTGAAACAGCCTAATTCTGAATTCCCTTCAGTTCCCAGAAGTTCTCCCTACTTTGAAACACCAATTCCTCTAGAACTAAAGCAGCAGCTAAATTCAAATCACTATGAGACAAAGCAACCTAGATTAAGTAAACAAGGTGAGCATGATCTCTACGTTCAATGAGCAATTTCCCCTCAGACTGTCTTCAAGAGGTGAAACACAGGAGTCTGGCCAGGTGGGAACCTCCAGCTGGGATGAACTATTACCCATTTTACTTCACCACGAGGCATTTTTGCTACCAAAACACACAATCAAAGCTGCAGCTGAGAAAAACAATTAACCCACCCCCCCAAACAGCAGGCTGCCCTTTAGCAGAAATAAGATTGAAGTCCAATCCAGAGGATTCAACCGCAGCGGCGTTAGCTTCATTTGACTGTATTTAAATAAAATAAAGCATTTAAAAAAAAAAAAATAACAGGCACTAAAATATCCTCACTGCTTACACCACGTCCCAGCCAAGCCCCACGTAGATGGCATGCAACGGCCTCTCCCCACCCCTCCCTGGGCAGCCTGGTGGGCAGTTTGTGGATGTCCCAGAACACGAGAAGCTGTTTCCACGAAGAAGCGTAACAAGAATATTCAGAAGAGTCCACTCCCCACCAGCATCCAGGTTGCTCAGTTCAAGCCTGCAAATTCCACGGTGTTCCCAGAAAGACAGCAGAGGAGGAGAGAGCTGGTGCCTGAGAACCACAAGGAACAGGCCAGTCTCCCTCCTGCTGCAGCCTCCCCCCACCCCACGATGTTTTTGCTTCTTCAGTTCAGCCCTCAGAGCTTCTTCAGGCGACTGTACAGTTCCCTTTTGCTCTTCTCACCAGCCCAGGTTCGGCTTTTGGTGCGGAATCTTTTCAAATCTTCTTTAAAGTCTTCGTGGTGCATGGGGCGGTAGCTCTGGGGCTCACAGAAACTCTGGGGAAAGAGAAGGTGGTTTCACTTCAGTGTGTCACAGGATTGAGACTCATCAACAGAGCCTGGTAGCAGCTATTTGAACAGCTGCCACCAGAATACACAGAACCAGAGCCCCAAGTCTGTGCACGAGCTTTGTACCCAACACTCATGGGGAAAAAAAAGACATGGACCTGCTGGAGCAGGGACACAAAAATGATCAGAGGGCTGGAGCAGCTCTGCTGTGAGGACAGGCTGAGAGAGGTGGGGCTGTTCAGCCTGGAGAAGAGAAGGCTCCGGGGAGACCTTATTTCAGCCTTTCAACAGTTAAATGGGTTTATAAAAAAGATGGGGACAAACTTTTTAGCAGGACCTGTAGCAACAGGACAAGAGGAAATGATTTTAAACTCAAAGGGGAGATTCAGACTGGATGTAAGGAAGAAATTTTTTACACTGAGGCTGGTGAAATCCTGGCCCAGGTTGCCCAGAGAGATGGTAGAAGCTCCATCCCTGGAAACACTCAAGGTCAGGTTGGACAGGGCTGTGAGCAACCTGATCTGGTTGAAGATGTCCCTGCTCACTGCAGGGGGTTGGCCTAGATGGCCTTGAAAGGTCCTTTCCCACCCCAAACCCTTCTATGATATGATTTGATGATATTCAGATTACAGCTACTTCAACAGCTGTTAAACAAAGGACTTTCAGCCCTGTGTACAGAGCTCTCACCCCAATTTTCCAGCACACATCAATACACAAACAAAGTCTATTAATCTATTTACTATTCACCTTGAAATAGCCCAGATTTGAAGAATACTTGTACCGTGAAACCAGCCAGCCCCTGGCTCACACCCCAAAGCATTAAAAGCTGCCGTCAGCTGTTCCATGCTGCCACCTTGAGGTCCTCCCACCTCGGGAGAGGAACCCCCACGGGACTGACACAAAACCCCAGGCATCCAGCAGATTGCAGGGAGAGCCAAAAAACAGGACAGCATCCCCCATGGCAGCCCAAATGCTGGAAGAAGAAACATCCCACTGGGAAAACACAGACAGCCCCACCCAGCCGGCCACAGAAAGGCCAAATCATAGAATCATCATAGAATCATAGAATGGTTTGGGTTGGAAGGGACCTTCAAGCTCATCCAGTCCCAACCCCCCTGCCATCAGCAGGGACACCTTCCACTAGATCAGGTTGCTCAAAGCCTCATCCAGCCTGGCCACAAACACTTCCAGGGAGGAGCAGCCACAGCTTCTCTGGCCAACCTGGGACACTGGCTCACCACCCTCACACCAATATTGCAAATGTCTCTGAAAATGCACCAAGTCACAGAACAGGAAGGTGATCTAAGAGATACTCTAAAGTGCAGGGGGCTGAGAGGGACTAAAAGGACAGTCAGGCTGCAGTCTGTGTCAGAAGGGCAGGGAGAACTAGCTGGAGAGAGAGAGGGCAGCTGCTGAAATGCTGAAGCTGGAGAAGCTAAATAATAGGAGAAACCCCATCCATCCTCACCCAGCTGGGAAGAGCTGCTGGGCATTTTTTAGTTTCTGAATTAAGAGGCTGAAAGCACAAAACTCCAGTATTTCAATGTTGCTATTTTAGTAGAGGATGAGAATTCAGGTTTCCATTTGTTATACGTCAATTCCTGCCCAGCCCCTCTCCTCTCCCAGTCCTTGCAGGCTGAGCAGCTTTAAATGTCATCTCCAAATGACATTTTGAATTCCTACTTGTTATAAAAGGGCAGAAATTAGTTTTATGTTTTACTCTTTGAGACCAAGTGGCAAAACCTTTCAGTTATGGCAGCAAGACAGCTCAGAAATCTGGAATAGGCTTAGAGAAGTGAAGGCAACATCACTGCCAATTTGAACTGCTCTCAGTAGAGGAGAGCACCGTGAAACAGAGCAGGGAAAGGGACCCCAGCAAAAAATACTCTATTCCAAAGAGAAGATAAATAATACTGATAGACTCATAATTGATCTACCATTTCTTCTGAGTGTGAAAGCCCCAAATTTAAGAGAACATTACTTACACGGCATCTTAAGAAGAAGTCTCTGTAACCTCCCTTCAGGACATAGAGCTCTGGGTAATGGAGGTTGGGGTATTCGTTCCCCAGCCTGTCCCGCTCTCTCACAAACCGGCACCTGTAGCAGGAAAAGATCCTCCATTAAATCTCACACTCAACATTTAACAGGTGAAAACAGCCCTCACCCAAAACTGCCCATTCCTTGGGCTATGGAAGCAAGTTCTGATGATGAGGAACAGGCTGACAAGCCCCACTGGCTGCAAAGCTGTGCCTAACTGGTTTCCCCTCTGTGTCTCTAAGCATTCCAACTTCAACACGGCGGTTGGCATCACAGGCTGTGTCACATCCCTGCTAGAGGTGACAACCAACCTCTGCTCACGATAAACTTGGTATTAAGTAGCATGCCAGCAGGGGAACTGGTCCCACCCTGAAAGCTTTGCTCTCAACTAGCACAGCAGTGAGTTCTGATCTAGGATGATAACTCACATTCGAGGACCCCGCTCTGAAGAAAACTCGCAGTGGAACACAATTATCACTCGTTTGTTCTCCGATGGCTGGATTGGCTTCTTAAGCAAGTAGTCTTCCACATCCTCTTCCATATGTAGGTTTACAGCACCCTGTAAAAGCAGAGTCGTGTCCAAGCACACACAGTGAGGGGAGGAGAACAGGAACAAACCCATCAGACTTCCTTTCAAGCTGTCTCCTCATCTTAAGTTTCCTACAGGAGCTCCAGCAACCCCCTCAAACCATTGGGAACAAGTTTCCCAACCCAGGGAGAACATCACAGATAGTCTAACACTGGCTCTGGGTGACCTGGACCTGTTTCCAACGGCCATTTCAACAGCTAGAGGTTGTGGCTCGTTGGATTTCCCTTCCCTTCTCATTGTATTTGAGAGGACCAGCCAGATTGCTCAGGCAGCAAACTTCAAGATCAATTCTGCTTTGCACAACCGTTTATTTTTTAAAGCCTGTGGTTTAAATGAAGTTTAATACTCTCATTTTAGCTTCCCTAGATATCAAGAAGCTGGACACCAAGTGTTTCACACCCACCTCTGGAACCATCTCTCCACTGGTGACACAGGCCACCTCCTCTGCTTAAGGAGAAAGGGATGTTCCCTCCTTTGAGGAAGAAGTCACTTTATGAACCAAGTGTAAGCAGAGTGTCCCAAGAATCACAGAGCACGTGGACCTAACAGGATCCCAGATCCAGTGAGGCACTTGGGCATCTCAGCTATAACATACCCACGTGGCCATGGATACTAAAAAACAGCCCCACATGGTGCCAAGTGACCCCAGTTTGCAACTTCAGACAACTCTACATCGCTCTGACGGGGTCAACGTACCTTGATGTGTCCTCCTTCATACTCATAGGGGTATCTACAATCAATTATCACACATTCCTTGATGAAGCTTGCAAACTTCCCAGTCAGCACAGACACAATCTGAGGAAAAATTAAAAAATAAAAAGAAAAAATAATTAAAAAAAAAAAAAAAAAAAGAGTTTGGTTGTTTTGAGATGTTTTTCTGTGGGTTGATTTGGTTTTGGTTTCTCACCCCCCCCATAAAGAATTTTTCTTACTGTCCATGGAGCACATACCATTTCTGAGTCGATGTATTTTAAATCTTGATGTTTCCCATCAACAGTGTGGAATAAATAGCCCTAGAAAACAGACAGCATTTCACAGAAAATTCTGAGTGTGAACCACACAGGCCTGCACAATGTCCAGCAGTTAATTCTGTAACACATGCTTTGTTGACAAGAATCAGCTTTGCTGAAGAGTTAAAACTAAGAATTCTAAAATTCAGGGACAGAATTTTATGGTTTTTGCTCCTATACTGAAGGGATTTTGTAGATGTTTTTGAATAACCACAAATTAATGGGTTTGTGTCTAACCTATGAAAGCACCCTTCTCGCCAACAGCCTTTCCTCAGGGTTTGAATACATACTGATAAAGAAGGCAAGCGCTTTACTTGGTCTGGTTTGAGACATCTCTAACCAAGATTGACCATGAAAACACTTGAATTAACACCTGAATTACCTTTGAGAAGTCACCAATAAGGTCACTCTGGTCACTGTCCAAAATGCTTTCGATCTCTGCTGTGGAGGACTGGGTCTTTACCATTTTCAGACTCTAAAGGAACAGAGGTTAGAGATCAATGCTGAGCACTGGCAGCAGAGAAATCCTTTTCCCACAGCAAAAAAAATTCAGAGTTCACTCTGAAGCCCTGAACTACAACTCCCCAGCTACTCTTTGGATTAAGGCAAAACTCAGGCTCAAGAGAATAACCAGCTCCCCCAAATCTCCTGTACTATCCAGAGAGAATGCAGTTTTGCTAGGACAGCAGTTCAGCTGGAAAACCCTCATTAACCTTCATAAACTAGACACCTATATTACATCCTCTCCTAATCAATTCTCTGTTACAAAACTGGTTGCCAAGCCACCAACCGTTGAGTCCTCAGAAGGTGTTCCAGGCAGGCTTTTCCTCTTCTTGCTTTTCCCTGGAGAATTCTCTTCCTGTGACCTCTCCATCCTTTTCTGGGTGGTTCTTCCTACACCACTAGGCAGAGATGAAGAGCCAAACAACCGGCATCGTTTGACCTGTGAGGAAGAACAGAAGTTAAGAGCTGTCTAGCAAAGATTTAGATTAGCAACTAAGTAAACCTCGGACTTTCAGATAAATTTTGCTTTATAGAAGACACTGCCACTGCACAGCAACAGCAGGATCTTAATAGGGAACTAGATGAGCTTTAAGGTCCCTTCCAACCCAAACCATTCTATGATTCTATAAATTCAGGACCTACATTTCCAGTGACACTTGTTTCTTGCTGTCCAGACTGGGTGAGCTTGGAGCACCATAAACAATATGAGGTGCCAGCAGAGTGCTGTATACCAATCAGCAGACAATCAGCAGATTAAGGAGCTTTTTGCTGGAGTCTAAACTTTGCAGTCTATTATCAGAAAATCCAGCTACAGACATTCCAGGTAAGTCTGTGCAGAAGGTATTCAAGATAAGTCAACAAGTATCTGATAAGAGAAATCAAGATCTTCCTGCATTTATGAAGTGTTTTTGTAACGAGAAAGTTAACGCCTGTGTGCAAACACAATGAGCACCGTTCACACCAACAGAGACTTCCAGGTAAACAGACTTTCAAGATAACAGATATTGAAGGGGGTTTATACCACATCTTGGTTTGTTGTTGTTAGGGATGTAGGATCAGAGAGACAGCGTGATTGCTGGTCCCAGTCTCTGTTTTGCTGTGCTCTCACAGAACACTCACCCGATTGTCTGTTTTCCTCATGACTAGTGGTGCTGTCCAGAGGCTCGCCACATCGGACGGCGCCTCCTCATCGTTCTGAGGGGAAAAAAGAAAGAAAAAATAAAAATTTAATTCTCATCTCCTTCACTGTAGGCAGACTGTAAATGTCTACAGCTTCTGCACAGCTCAGGCAAACATTCCAGTTGAATTCAGCTATCAGAGCAGTTTAAGGAATTTAAACACAATTACTACTCAATGAAATAATGGAATCAAGTCAAGACATGTTGGAGACGTTAATTAACATCAATTCATTGATTGATTAACGATGTTCCTGTGAAGCTTCAAGCATTTCAAATTCAGTTGGAAAGTCTTCTATTAAGTGGCTCAAAAGCAAGTATCACCTCTAGCTCTTTCTAGCAAGTTTCTAACAAAAAATGACAACTGCTCAAGTAATTCTTTCTAGTAACTCGATTCTCATCTGTCAATAGGACAGCAGCGACTCTGAAACTAACTGCTGTTCACACAGCAAGTAAATCCCACTGGCTGCACTAGAAAAGAGCACATAAAACAGAAAATGTAAGAGTTGAAAGTGATGATGGTAACTTGTCTTCTAGAATTCCCTAGTACCTAGCTTTCTGCAGTTTGACTCCCAAGCACAGATCCAGTCTGGGCAGAGAATGGCTGGAGAGCAGCTCTG